TTGGTTGGGGCACATCCACAGTGGACGGTGTGCATGAGGCAGCTGATCAATGTTCCTATCTCATCAAGGTTTCTAGCTCTCTATCCCTGTCTCTTCCTCTCTGTAAAAAATCAATAAAATATTTTTTGGTTTTTTTTTTTAACTTTTTTCAAAGACTGAGCTGTTCTCACCCAATGTTTCCCTTCCAGGCTTGTATGTAGCCCAAAGCACTCAGGCTCAGAGTGGTTAGTGTCCTTTCAATGTCCAAGGATTGAGTGGAGTTTGGCCAGATATTAGCTCTCTTGGTGGCTGGGAAGAGGGGTGTTGGCATTTAAACTCATGGCTGTAAAAGGGGAGGACGTGGAGGTTGGCATGAGAAGCAGACACACCTGTAAATTTATTACCTTTTTTTCTAGGAAGTCTCCCCCCACCTGTTATCACAGCTCAGCCTGGACGCATGATTCTATATAATACACCAGTGACCATCCGGTGCCAAAGACCTCCAGACGCTACAGCCTATGAGATATACAGAATGAAAAGAATTCTGAAATTCCCTGACTGTATAATACCGGACACTGAGAACACTAGTACTTTATCTATTCAAGAGATGAAACCATACCTGCCAGGAATATACTTCTGTTCCCATGGGAGTGGAAAACACTGGTCCCCACTCAGTAGAGGCCTGCGTTTAGTGATGACAGGTGAGTGGGACCCAGGCAGCATGGCCAGGAGGGATCACTTTGCAGAGGGAGAACCGGGCTCTGAGATACAGAGCAGGAAACAGCAAAGCCTGTACCTCTAGGAAGGCAACAGGGATGATGCAGAGACACATTCCCTCAGGGCGGGACACAGAGGAAATAGAAGCCAGAGCCCTGTTAGCTCCTGGGAACGGGAAGTGACAGCACATGAATGTCACTTTCCCTTTAAAAGCAAACTTCCTTCTTTCTCAAGACCTTATGACAAACCCACACTCATGAATATGAATGGCACCCTGGTGGTTTCAGGAGACAATGTGAAGTTACAGTGTTTCTCCAGAATCAAGCTTGATGTATTTTTTCTCAGCAAAGAAGAGGAACCTTGGCGCACCCGAAAAAAGGGCTCCAAAGCCCAGGACAATGGACAGCAGACTACCTTCCACCTGGACCATGTCACCTCCACAGAGGCAGGGACCTACAGGTGTTACGGTGCCTTCGAAAATTACTCCTTTGTATGGTCTCCCCCAAGCAACCCATTGCAGCTTGAGGTCAGAGGTGAGAAAGCCGATCCATCCCCACGTCCCCCTTACAGATGACACTGTGCACGTAGGAAGTGACTGGACGAAAGAGAAGACTGTGGTGGGAAGCGCTTGGCTGCACCATCTGCTTCCACAAAAGCCAAGAGCACCTCCCCCGCCCTCACCAGGCAGGCCTCCTAGAAATAGCAAGGGGAGCCACTTTTTGAAGCATAGGATTATCTGACCCATAGGTTGTACACCTGACAATAATACAAAGTGATAGGGAATGTAAACTGTAATGGAAATTTTTTTAATTTTTAAAGAGTGAACTGTTCTCACCCAATGTTTCCTTCCAGGCTTGAATCTAAACCAGAGCACTCAGGCTCAGAATGGTGAGTATCCTTTTAATGTTCAAGGACTCAGTAGGGTTTGAACAGATGTCAGTTCTTGGATGCTGGGAAGAGGAGTCTTGGCATTTAAACTGGTGGCTGTAAAAGGGGAGGAAGTGGAAGTTGGCAGGAGAGCAGTTACACAGGTAAGTTATTATGTTTTCCTAGGGTATTGGCCCCTCCTCTTATCACAGCTCAGCCTGGATCCATGGTTCTATATGAGGAACCAGTGACGATCCTGTGCCAAGGGCCTCCAGACACTGAAGCCCACAACATATAAAGTGGAAGAACATGAGCATATGGACAGAAGGGAAATACCAATGACTGGGATGACGGACACTCTGTATATCCAAGAGATGAAACCAGGATGGCCAGGACTGTAGCGCTGTTCCTATAGGAGTGGAAGACATTGGTCCCAGCTCAGTGACCCCGTGTATCTGCTGATGACGGTTGAGTGGGACCCAGGCAGCAGGGCCAGGAGAGACCGCTTTGCAGAGAGAAGAATCAGGCTCTGAGATACGGAGCAGGAAGCAGCAAAGCCTCTACCTCTAGGAAGGCATCAGGGATGATGCAGAGACACATTCCCTCAGGGCAGGACATGGAGGGGATAGACACCAAAGCCACATCTTCTCCTGGAAACAGGAACGGGCATGGCTTCCCCTTTATCTGCAACTTCCTTCTTTCTCAGGATCTTATGACAAGCCCTCACTCTCCAGCATGAGTGGCACAGTGGTGGCTTCAGGACACAATGTGAGGTTACAGTGTTTCTCCAGAATCAAGTTTGAAGCATTTATTCTCATCAGAGAAGATGCACCTCAGTTCACCCAGAGAAAAAGCTCCACAGCCCAGGACAATGGACAGCAGACCACCTTCCATCTGGACCATGTCACATCCATAGAGGCAGGGACATACAGATGCTACGGTGCCCTCAGCGAAGACCCCAATGTGTGGTCTCACCCCAGCGAGCCACTGCAGCTTGAGGTCAGAGGTGAGAAAGCGGTCCATCCCCATCTCCCCATCTGAAGATGACACTGTTCGCTTAGAGAAGTGACAAGTGGAAAGCCATGTCCACATTACCTGCTTCCACCAAAGCTATGAGGTCCTCACCACTAACCTACCATGCAGGCCTCTGAAACATGCCCAGGGCCTGGGAGAGCATGCAGGTCATTGTGAGTCTGGGGAGAGAGACTCTGAGCACAGATAAAGGAACAACCCCATTTCCTCCCCATCTACAGAAGCTGCTGAAACTCCTGATCCCACAGAACCCAGCCATATCCATGTTGAGTAACAGTAGTCTTTTTTAAAGAAACATTTATTGGGTAAATTACAGAGGAAGAATAAGTAAATACTAGAAGAAAGGGGCTTAGGAAACACGTTATGGAGCTAAAGCATGGGCCCTTAGAGCTTGTCAGTGAGGTAGCTAACGGTAAGGTGTCTGGTAAAGGAAGCAGGGAAGGAAAAGGGAGATGGAGAATAAAGGGAATGGCACAGGCAAGCTCTGTTGATGGAGAGCACCAACTGGTAGTCTTTGCAGAAGGAGCAGGAAAGGTGAAGGAAGATGAGGGGCAAAGGAGACGAGGAAGAGAGAAGCTTTAGTGCCCATGGAGGACCAGGGAGGCCATTCTCCATCAGCTGATGCAATAGTTTGCAGAGAGGCATCCCAAAGAAGGACCCAGCAGACCTTCCAGGGAGAAGACTGAAAACTCCCCACCCAGTCTCCATCCCTGCATTTCATGACCCAGAATTCCTTTGGAAATCACCACAGAGCTCATAATGACCAGAGGAAAGAAGGCACATATTGCTTATGCAGAAGGTGGCTGAGCAGCGATCTCCTAGTTCCATCAGACTGGAGACATGAGCTCAGTGGGAGGGCATCTTCCTGCGAGGGCCTTTGGCTTCAGCTCTGTGACCTCCGTCCTTTCTCTCTCAGGACCTGCTGGTGGGATTGTGTCCCCAGTGAACCAAGTCCGGCTGAGTCTGGCTGGCCTGGTTCTCTTGGCCCTGGTGGTCGTGTTGGCAGAGGCCTGCTACAGCCACAAGAGGTCCTTCCCCTGGCTCAGATGAGAACCTCCCGTCCACACCTGATAGTCATGAACAACACCGAGGACACTCATGGCATCTAAGGACAGTGTGGACTTGAGGGGTGGATAACCAGAGGAAACCAGGAGCTGGCTGTGTTGTCTACTGGGTAATGGGGTGTGTCCGTCTCCTGCAGAATCTGGCACAATGTCCCAACATCACAGTGAATTAACGTGGTACTAATGGGTGCTCTTGGAGGTCTGGAGAACAAATGTCTAAAATGGGTCCACTGGCCTGCATGGCTTTTTTTTTATTTCTTATCTTTTATTGTTGGAAATATTACAGATGTTCCTTTCTTTTCCCCATGGACCCCATCCAACATGCACCCATGTCCCACCAAGGCCTTCACTGCATTATAATCTGTGTCCACAGTTATTGCATATAAGTTTTTTGGTTCATCTCGTCCTGACCTCTGACCCCCTTTGTCTGAGACTCATCAGTCTGTTCCATGCTTTTATGTCTCTGGATCTATTTTGCTCATCAGCTTATTTTGTTCATTAAAATCTACATAAGTGTGAGATCATGTGATACTTACTTTCCCCTGACAGGATAAGTTCACTAACCATGAAAAATAAAAACAGACCTTCCATTTGACTCAGTGCTCTTTCTCCTACAAATATGCCCTAAGAAGCTGTGTAAATCAACCAGAAAGAATATAGTCACCCCTGTATTCATAGCAGTGTTGTTTACAATAGTTAATATCTGGAAACAGCCCAAGTGCCCATCAATAGATAAGTGGATATGGAAGTAGTGGTACATTTACACAATGGAATTCTATGCAGCTTTAAAAAGGAGGATTTGTGCTATTTTAAAGTAAATTTATCAGGGTGACATTGGTTAATAACTTTATATAGATTTCAAATGTACAATTTTATGATACATGATCTACCTATTGCATTGTATACTCCTCAGGCATAAGAGCAAATAAAATACTGCCATTTGTAACAACATGATTGAACCTTGATAATATTATACTGAGTAAAATAAGTCAGTCAGGAAAAGCTAAGAACTATATAATTCTCTCATAGGTGGGATATTAACAGAAACTCATAGACACAGACAACAGTATGGTTATTGCCAGAGAGAATGGAGTGGAGGGATAGTAAAGGGGACTACCCAGCTGTTGTGGCTCGATGGTTGAGCGTCACCTATGAACCAGGATGTCAAGTTTGATCCCCTGTCAAGGCATATGCCCAGGTTAAAGCGCCATCCCTAGTGTGAGACATGCTGGAGGCAGACCTTCCAAGGATTCTCTCTAAACATTAATATTACTACTTCTCTCTCACTCTGCCTTCCTCTCTGAAATCAATAAAAATACATAATTTTTTAAAATGGGTAAAGGGGACCAAATAGATGGTGACCTTAGAGGATTTGACTTTGGGTGCGTATGGAGGCTCCCCAAAAAAATGAAGAATAGAGTTATTTCCTGGCTGCTATGGCTCAGTTGGTTGAGCATCCTCTCAGACACCAAGAGGTCTGGTGTCTGGTTCAATTCAGGTCAGGGAGCATGCCTGAGTTGCTGGCTTGATCCTCAGTAATGCGGGGATGGGAGGGGGGATGGTTTGCAGGACCAAGCTGGTCAATGTTTCTCTCTCTCTCTCTCTCTCTCTCTCTCTCTCTCTCTCTCTCTCGCTCTCTTTCTCTCTCTCCATCTATTCCTCCTCTTTCTTTTCTCACTAAAATAAGTAAAACATAGATAAGAGAGAAAGGTGTTATAGATGATTCATAGATAGATAGTTGGATGATAGAGAAATATAATAAATTATATATAGATAATACATAGATAGTTACAGATAGATATATACATGACACAAAGAAAGGTAGATGAGGGAGAGAAAGCTGGTATGAATGATAGATAGATGACTGATGGATAGAGAGATAGATAACAAAATAGATGATAGATAAATATAATAGATTATAGATAGATACATATTAGTAACAGATGGAAATATACATGATAAAACATAGGTAGACAAAAGATAAACAGACAGAGAAACAAAAGTCATATTTTGCCCCAAGTGTCAAAGAAAATCAATTCTTATCTAACCATTTTGACTTGTCTCCTCCTCCTCTCTGTAGGAATTTTCCATTATCTTCTTAATCCTGAGAAAACTTCAATTTTTCATCTGTGATTGTCTCACCTTACACCCTCTGCTCTATGCCCAGTCCATGCACCAATGGCACAAACACAGGGACTCACTTCCTCAGCTAATTGAACTGGTTGTGGTGATGCTGGGGTTAAACTTAAATGGGTGTTCACTGAAACCCCACAACCACAGGGAAACCCTAGAAGCAGCAGGAGATATTTCTAAACCTGAAGAACCAGGTGGGATTTATCATTGTCTACAGTGTCCCCAGGGTCTGATGATCGAACACATGACCAAATAACTTGAAGCATTAACCCAATCCACCACAGTTCCTGTGAAGATTATGGGCAACTTTCCCCACAGGATCTTGATAAAAAATGAAAACCCAGTAAAGGTCAGCTGTTCCACATCATCAGATTTCAGAGTGACTCATGTGGGTGCAGAGAGGGGAAGATTTTAACTCTAAGTTTTATGTTGATTGAGAAGAGTGGACGGCATATCAACTCAGTAAGGGTCAGCCAGTGAGATGGTTTAAAAACAAAGAGGCAAGGCCAGCCCACGGGGCTAAAGAGTTGAGCATTGACCTATGAACCAGAAGGTCACAGTTCTATTCTCAATCAGAACACATGCCTGGATTGTGGACTAGATCCTCTTTGTGGGCCATGCAGGAGGCAGCCAATCAATGATTTCCTCAACACTGATGTTTCTACCTTTCTCTCCCTTCCACTTCTCCTCTCTGAAATCAATAAAATATATTTTTAATAAACAACCAAAAGGTGAAGAGAAATTGGCACTCGAATAAACCTCTTTCCTTTATCGGCAAAAATAAAAGAACCAAGGGCTGACAAAACCCAGTGTAATGATCTTGTTTAGGTTCATCACTTTCACCCATGGACAGAGTCAATGCTACCAACGTGGTGGGAATATGCACAGCAAAAAAAAAAAAAAAAAAAAATGTTTATTTCATTGCCTCCCAAGTCGGTTCTGCTCTGGGCCACATGCACACACTGTGAATATAGCTTTGCAGAAAGACACAATTATTGACCCACTTTGTACCTGAATCAAAGGAAGCTCAGCTTATAGTCGCAGGAGCCATGAGCTCACAGAGTTTTTCAGAGCTGATCTCAGAGTGGGAACTACTTCTGTCCTGTTCTTCATCTGTGATCCCTCTTCCTGCTCACTTTATTCAGAAAGATTAAATGCCATGAGGAATTGGGGACAGAAAATAAGGACTGATCTGGGCTGATGGAGGTTTGAAGTTCAGATGACTAACATCATAAACTCAGATGCCTCTGTAAGGCTTTAGCAGAAGAGGTGGTGAAATGCCTTCACTCTGGAGATAAGAACCAAGGCCCACCCACCACTTCCTGTTGCTTGGTGTGACTTTCAGAGAAGTCCCTTCCGCATACAGGCAGCATCGCTGAGGGCAACAGGCCAGAGAGGACCCAGAATCATGTCCGTGGATCTTCCCACTCTGCTCTATCTCGGTGAGTGCGGACAGAAGGGTCAGGGTGCAAACACAATCTACAGGGGCAGGTCTGTGGTTCCATAGGCTGGACTATTTTCTAACATGAATGATCAAACAAAACAGACACAGACTCACAGACACGGGGAACAAAGATGTCTGCCATAGGAGAGTTTATGGGACTGGGTGTAAGGGTGAAGGGATTGAGAAGTATAGATTGGGAGTTACAGAATACTCCTGGGAGCTTAGAGTACAGCTTAGAGAATACATCCAATAAAATTGTAACACCTACACATGGTGCCAGGAGGGTACTGGACATAGCAAGAGGAAGCACTTTATAACATAAATGATTATCCAACCACCAGGCTGCATGCCGGAAAATAATGCAAAGTGATATTGAATGTAAACTGTAATTGTTAATATAAAAAACTTTTTTTAAAAACTGAGCTGTTCTCACCCAATATTTCCTTCCAGGGTTGTATGTAGCCCAGAGCACTCAGGCTCAGAATGGTGAGTGTCCTTTCAATGTCTAAGGATTGAGTAGAGTTTGGCCAGATATCAGCTCTGTTGGGGGCTGGGAAGAGGAGTCTTAGCATTTAAACTCATGGCTGTAAAAGGGGAGGAACAGGAGGGTGGCATGAGAAGCAGATACACCTGTAAAATTATTACCTGTTTTTTTAGGATATTTCCCCCCACCTGTTATCACAGCTCAGCCTGGATCCATAGTTCTAAATAATAAACCAGTGACCATCTGGTGTCAAGGGCCTGCAGACGCTGAAGCCTATGAAATATATAAGGAGGGAGACCCTGAGCCTCGGGACGGAAAGAAATTACTGGAGGCTGGGAAGACCAGAACTTTATATATCCAAGAGATGAAACCATACCGGACAGGATGGTACCGCTGTTCCTACAAGAGAGGAGGACAGTGGTCCCCACTCAGTGAACCCCTGCTTCTAGTGATGACAGGTGAGTGGGACCCAGGCAGCAGGGCCAGGAGGGACCTCTTTGCAGAGGGAGAACCAGGCTCTGAGATACGGAGCAGGAAGCAGCAAAGCCTCTGCTTCTAGGAAGGCCTCGGGGATGATGCAGAGACACATTCCCTTAGGGTGGACAGGGAGGGAATAGAAGACAGAGCCACATCTGCTCCGGGGAACAGGTAGGCACGGCACAACTTCCTTTATTTGCAACTTCCTTCTTTCTCAGGATTTTATGACAAACCCTCACTCTCGAGCTTGAGTGGCACCGTGGTGGCTTCAGGACACAATGTGAAGTTACAGTGTTTCTCCAGAATCAAGCTTGATGAATTTATTCTCACCAAAGAATATGTACCTCAGTTCACCCGGAGACAAAGCTCCACAGCCCAGGACAATGGACGGCAGACCACCTTCCACCTGGGCCGTGTCACCTCCACACAGGCAGGGACCTACAGGTGCTACGGTGCCTTCAGCAATTACTCCTACCTATGGTCTCACCCCAGTGACCCACTGCAGCTTGAGGTCAGAGGTGAGAAAGGCAGCCCTTCCCTTCTTCCCCTTCTGAAGATGACACTGTCCCCTTAGAGCAGTGACTGGAAGAAAGAGGTCAGAGGTGAGGATGCCCATCCATCCGTATGTTCCCTCCTGAAGTTGATGATGTCCACTTGGAGGGAATTCTGGGTAAAGGAGGAGAGCAGCCTTGGGAGTTGTTGTCAGCACCCTCATCTTAGACACCAAGCTATGAAGTCAGCCTCACCCTTGTCCACCTTGCAGCCCCCTTATCACATGTGTAGGTCGTTGGGAGTCTGTGTAGAAAGAGCTTGAGAAGAACTAAAGTAAGCACCCCCATTTTGTCTCTGTTTGCAGAAGCTCCTTCGGACTTCACAACCACGAAGCCCAAACATCCACAAGGTGAGTCACTGGGTTGCGTGGAGAACAGTCACACGTTCAGGGCCATGGAGGCCATGTAGGTCATTGGGAGCCTGTGTAGAAAGAGCCTGAGAAGAATTAAAGTAACCACCCCCATTTCGTCTCTGTTTGCAGAACCTCCTTTGGACCCCACACCCACGGAGCCCGAACATCCACAAGGTGAGTCACTGGGTTGTGTGGAAAACAGAAAGTATATGGAGTAGAAATCTCACTTACCAGAGACAGAGTCAGCTTTTTTTCTTCCCTTAATTAATCCTCACTGAAGATGCTTTTTCCATTGATATTTAGGGGGAATAGAAGAGAGTGAAGGGGGAAGAGAGAGGGAGAGAGAGAGAGAGAGAGAGAGAGAGAGAGAGAGAGAGAGAGAGAGAGAGAGAGAGAGAGAGAAACATTGATATGAGAGAGACATATCAATTGGTTGCCTTTCACATATGCCCCAACAACTAGGGCCAGGGATGGAACCTGCAACCCAGGCACGTACCCTTGACCGGGAATCAAACCCAAGACCCTTGCGATGTGCAGACTCACACTCTAACCATGGAGTAACACTGGCGAGGGCCAGAGTCAGCTTCTTAAGAGGACCTCTGATGGCTGGAGGAAGCAGGGAGCGCACAGGTGAAGGAGAAGTCTGTTTTCCATTGGGAGAGCAGAAGACTAGATGGTCTTTGGGTGGCAAATAACATCTGTAGGTTCCACCGCTACCTTTCCTCATTGATCCATATGCCAGTATTTCCGAAAGCGTCTAGTATTCCTAGCCCTCCTCAGGGAGCTCGACTCCCAGAGGGCAGACTGATACTCATGATGTCAGCCCCAAATAACTGAGATAATCAGACAACCTTTTCCCTGGAGGCTTCATCCCTGGCCTCACCAAGGACACTAAACCTGTGAGAGCTATTTCTACAGTTCATTCAGGGTGTCCCCCTGCTACTCTTTTCCCTCCTCGGAGCCGCATTTTCTCCACATATAAGGAAACAAAAATTCTGTAAAGGATTAAGAAGGACTGTTGAGAGGCATGGATACAAGGAACAGACCAACAGCTGTCAGAAGGGGCTGGATGAAAGAAGAGGAAAGGATTAAATAAAACACACGCAGGCACACGTGCACACAAACATACATATAAGTAAAACACAGACAACAGTTAAAATCTGTGTGGTTTTGTGAACCAGTGTCACTCCCCAAATAAATTCAATTGCATAAATAAGAGGGGTGGAGAAAGGCCCTAGCTGGTGGAGTGTCATCCCTCAGTTGGTTGGAGGGTCATCCCATGCACCAAAGGTGGTGAGTTCAATTCCCTGTCAGGGCACATACATGTGGAAGGCAATTGATCCATGTTTCTCTTTCACATCAAAGTTTCTCTCTCTCTCTCTCTCTCTCTCTCTCTCTCTCTCTCTCTCTCTCTCTCCTCTTCCCTCCCCCCCATCCCATAAAAAAAATTACAAAAACAACTGTTCAGCCAAGACCTTCTGTGGTTGAGGCCATCAGTGTTTCCCTACATGCTGAGTAGAATTTAGTATAAATGAACCTGCAGGCCCATGACGGTCTCTATCAGTGCCTACGACATGCGTATATCGAGGGACCATTCACAGAGAAACAGACAAGTGCATTTTCAAAGGGGGCATGGGGCAATGTCAGGTGTTATGTCTTGGACTTGTTGCTTCTGAGGTGGCCAGACAACATCTTACATGGATTCAAGGGTTGGTTTTAAACATCTTGAGTTAAGAGGGCAAAGAACTGTAGATACAGGTGTGGAATTATTGAGCATAAAGTTTGCAAATAACGTAGGGAAGATAATGCAGGTATTGAAGTAGAGTGAAAAGGAAGTCCTAAGGGGAAACACAAGCATACAAGCTTTAAAAATTTATTGGGGCTGCCCCAGCCAGGTGTAGCTCAGCCATTGAATGTCGACCCAGAAACAAAGAGGTCACTGGTTCGATTCCCGATCAAGGCATATGCCCAGGTTTCAGGCTCGATCCCCAGTGAGGGGCATGCAGGAGGCAGCCAGTCAATGATTCCCTCTCATCATTGATGTTTCTATCTCCCTCTCCCTCCCTCTCTGAAATCAATTTTAAAAAAATTTTTTAATCTATCGGGGTAAAAAAAAAAATATGGCTTATTTCACTTAGCATAACGGCCTCCAGGTTCATTCATGAGCAGCTCACTTCTTTTTTTTTTAAATATATTTTATTGATTTTTTACAGAGAGAAAGGGAGAGAGATAGAGAGCTAGAAACGTCGATGAGAGAGAAACATTGACCAGCTGCCTCCTGCACATCCCCCACCGGGGATGTGCCCGCAACCAACGTACATGCCCTTGACCGGAATCGAACCCGGGACCTTTCAGTCCGCAGACCGACTTTCTACCACTGAGCCAAACCAGCTTCGGCAGCACTTCTTAATTCTTGAAGTGGAACACTCTCATTCGCTTTGCTACCTTTACAATCTTTTTAAGTTTTTATTAAATGTATTGGAATGGCATTGGTTAATGAGTTTCAAATGTGCAATTCCATAGCAAATCATTTGTTCTCACCACCCAGACTCAAGCCCCCTTCCATCACCATGTGTTTGACCCTTCTTGCTCCTCTCCTACCTCTCCCCACTACCCTGCCCCTTTAGTAACTAAACTTCTACTGACTGTGTCTGTGAGTTTTTATGAGTTTTTGTTTGTATTGTTTGCTTGTTGGCTGCTTTCAGTTTTACATCCCACATAGGAATGCAATCATACGATTCTTAACTTTTTTGACTGACTTACCTTGTTTAGCAAGACATTTACACTCTTGATTTATCCTGGTTGGTTCATGGAAGCTGGGCGGGGGGGCGGTTATATGGTTTTGTTGATTTCAGAGAGGAAGGGAGAGAGAGATAGAAACATCAGTGATGAGACTCATTGATTGGCTGCCTCCTGTACGCCCCTCCTGGGGACTGAGTTCGCAACCCAGGCATATGCCCTAAGCGGAAATGGAACCATAACCACCTGGTTCAAAGGTCGGTGCTCAACCACTGAGTCACGCCAGCCACGCTGGATTCACTTTTTTAATATATTTTTATTGATTTCAGAGAGGAAGTAAGAGGGAGAGAAAGAAACATCAATGATGAGAGAGGATCATTGATTGGCTGCCTCCTTCACCCCCCCCCCTACCGAGGATCAAGCCCACAACATGGGCATGTGCCCTTGACCGGAATTGAACCTGGGACCCTTCAGTCCGAAGGCCGGCGCTCTTATCCACTGAGCCAAACCAGCCAGGGCAGGCTGGATCCATTTTTAAGTTGTTCTGTTTATATTAGGGTTCCCAGGGGTCAACCATTCGGGACTGTGCTGGGGCATGAGGGGGGGGGGGGCATGGAGGGGCACCCGGTCCCCATGTCCTCCACGAAGGTACTTTAGGAAGGACAGCTGCTCCAACACTGTCTCCTCCTTTGCAGCCATGGATCACAACCAGACCCAGGACCACCAGAGTATTCTGATCGGCTTCCCAGTGGCCATCGTCCTCCTGCTCCTCCTCTCCCTCCTCCTTTTCTTCATCCTCCACCACCGCCATCGCAAAGCCAAAAAAAGCAGTACGTCCTTCAGCGAGGGAGGGAAGCCTGAGCAGAGGCCCCTGTGGGGAAAATCCTACAGGGAAATGGGGGGAGGCATCTTCTGGGGGTGGGAAAGGGGGTGAGGGAACCACAGGTATGAAGGTGGGGGCTGGTTTGCTGGCTCTAGCTGCGATGGTGATAACTCTCTTTTTTTACTTATTGATTTTGAGAGAGAGATTGATTTGTTGTTCCACCTTGTTGTTGTTGTTGTTAATCCTCATCTGAGGATATTTTTTCCCTTGATTTTTTTATAGAGAAAGTGGAAGTAAAAAGGAGAGACAGAGAGAGAAAAACATCTATGTGAGAGGGACACATCGATTGGTTGCCTCCTCCATATGCCCCTGCCTGGGAATCGAGCCTGCAACCAAGGTTCGTGTCCTTGACAAGAAATGAACCTGCAGTTGAACCACGGGCCAATGCTTTAGCCACTGAGAAAAACTGGTTAGGGCTGTTCCACTCATGTATGCATTCATTGGTTGCTTCTTGTATGTGCCCTGACTGGGGATTGAACCGTGACCTCCTGGGTTTATGGGTCAAGGCTCAACCACTGAGCCACACCAGTGGGGCTAAAATCAATTTTAAAAAAAAACAAAAAACATTTCCTCACCTGGATGGTGTGACTCAGTGGATTCCCGGTCAGGGCACATACCCAGGTTGCAGGCTCGATCCCCAGTGTGGGGAGTGCAGGAGTCAGCCAATTGATGATTCTCTCTCCTCTCTCTCCCATTATCTCTGAAATCAAGAAAAAAAATTTAATATATATTATTAATTTTTTTACAGAGAGGAAATGAGAGGGATAGAGAGCTAGAAACATCAATGAGAAAGAGACATCGATCAGCTGCCTCCTGCACACCCCCTACTGGGGATGTGCCCGCAACCAAGGTACATGCCCTTGACCGGAATCGAACCTGGGACCCTTGAGTCCGCAGGCCGATGCTCTATCCACTGAGCCAAACCAGTTCGGGCTAAAAATATAGATTAAAAAAAATGTCCTCAGGTGAGGATAAAAAAAGTTTTTAAATGAAATATTTATAGTAGGGCATAATCTACTCATCTAGGGGAAATGGTGAATAACATAGACTGAGGAACAAGAACAGACCCAGAGAGAAGGAGCCATGGGTCAGACTGTTGGACCTCAGAGGGAGGGTGGGGATAAAAGGGAGAGATCAACCAAAGGACTTGTGTGCACACATAGGAGCCTAACCAGTGGTCAAGGACAATAGGGAAGTGGGGGTATGAATGGGGGGGTGGGGGATTGGAATGGAGGGATGTGGACAAATATGTGATACCTTAATCAATAAAGAAATTAATTTAAAAAGAAAGAAAGAAAGAAATATGCAGCCTTAACAATGTCCTCCTCCCTCCAGATGCCACCGAGACAAAGAGGCAGCAACAACAGGCAGCGGGACCCATGGACAGACTGGTAAAAGTTTCCTCCTCTACTCTTCGCCCCCACCTCCCCAACAATTCCTCTGGTCCCCAATATCACACCATATCATAGTCTCCCTTCCTCCCTCAGGCCTCTGAAGCTAGAGACCCACAGGACGTCACCTATATCCAAGTGGCCTTTAATGCCCCCACCCCTGGGACAGCTTCAGCCCCCTCCTTGCTGCCCGGGCCGACCCAGGCCAGCGAGTATGCCACAGTCGCCCGGCGATGAGCCATGCTCCCGGACACTAGGACTCAGAGCTGCTGGTTGGAAGGTTTCTCCTCTGGCGTTGTTGCTTCTAAATCTGAGGCTGTCAGCCGGACTGAGGGAACCCATCCGCGTTACCAGAAAAAAAGAAGGCCCTGGCGCCCCTGAATCTGGAGATGATCACCCAGTCAGTTCCAGAACCTCCACTTGTAATTGCCCAGCAATGCCTGGGACCCTCCCGGGTGATTGGGGCGATGGCAGAGTACTGTGTGTATGTTCTCATGGATTTAAAAAATATATACTTACATCGTCTTGGGTGCCAGGTTTTCTATTACAGCCTAGAGATGCACAGAAAAGATCCCAAAACCATTCCTCTTGTCAAAATGTGTGGTCTAGCCCTGGCGGGGAGGCTCAGGGGTGGGAATGTATACCAAAAGGTCGCAGGTTCGATTCCCATTCAGGGCACATACCTAGGTCGTGGGGTCAATCCCCGGTCGGGATGAGTACAGGAGACAACAGATCAATGTTTCTTTCCCACATCAATGTTTTTCTCTCTCTTTCTCCCCCTCTCTTCCTCTTCCTATAAAATGTATATATATTCAAAAACAAGTATTGATTTAGAGAGGAGAGAGAGAGAGAGAGAGAGAGAGAGAGAGAGAGAGTGAGCAATTTGTTGTTCCACTTATGTAGGCACTTATTGGTTAACTAGAGGCCCAGTGCATGAAATGTGTGCACTGGGGGCGGGGAGGGGGGCGTCTATCAGCCTAGCCTGCACCCTCTTCAATCCAGGACATTCCTCTCACAATCTGGGACCACTGGCTCCTAACCACTCACCTTCCTGCCTACCTGATTGCCCATAACCACTCTGCCTGCCTGATCACCCCTAACCCCTCTGCCTGCCTGCCTGATCACCCCTAACTCCTCTGCCTTCCTGCCTGATCACCCCTAACCGCCTCTGCCTCAGCCACACCACCATGGCTTTGTCCAGAAGATGTCCTGTCTATCTGGTCTAATTAGCATATTACCCTTTTATTAGTATAGATTCTTGTATGTGCCCTACGAAGGATGGAACCCACAACCTTGGTGTATCCAGATGATGCTCTAACCGACTGAGCTCCCCAGCCAGGGCCATAATTAAAGTTTTGTTGGAATGTAACCACTCCTGTTTACTTGCGTGTTATGTATAATGGCAGAGTTTAAGTGTTGTAAAAGCAGAGAGCTGGAGGTGGGTGGTTAAAGATTGATCCTACAGCTTCTTCACACAGCTGAGGCCATCCATCAGAAAACAGTGTAATTTATAACCCTTAGTTCTAATATAGACAGCCAAGAGACAACAACTTGCCCTAGCCAGATTGGCTTAGTGAATAGAGCGATGGCCTACTGACCAAAGGGTTTCAAGTTTGATTCCAGTCAAGGGCACCTGCCCAGGTTGCAGGCTCCATCCCCAATGTGGGGGTGTGCAGGAGACATCTGATCAATGATTCTCTCTCATCATTGATGTTTCTCTCTCTTTATCCCTCTCCCTTCCACTCCAAAAAAAAAACACAAAAAAACATATGTTTAATTAACAAATGAAATAACAACCACCCTGAATAACAAACGGAAGACCAGCTGAGGCAGAGTCTTAGAACCAAGGATTTACAGAAGAGGCCACCTAGAGACAGGTAGGAAGGTCAGGCATGCGAAAAGGTCTGGGCCCGGCTCCAAAAATTTTAAAATAAAAAAATAAATTCAGCCGAAACCGGTTTGGCTCAATGGATAGAGCATCAGCTTGGGGACTGAAAGGTCCCGGGTTCGATTCCGGTCAAGGGCATGTACCTTGGTTGGGGGGCCTATCCCCAGTAGCGGGTGTGCAAGAGGCAGCTGATCGATGACTCTCTCATCGATGTTTCTAACTCTCTGTCTCTCTCCGTTCCTCTCCGTACAAAATCAATAAAATATATTTTTTTTTAAATTAAATTCATTAAATGCGAGAACAAGAAAAGAAAGGGGGAGGGGAGGCTGGGATGAAGGCAGAGTATTGAATGGAGCAGTGATGCCTCTGAATGGTGTCTGAGACAGATCTCACTGGAGGCCACAGTGGAGATGGGACTGCAAGGGGTCTGAGGGGAGGGGAAACCATTTGCAGGCTCGTTAAAGAAGCCATCTCAGAGAAGGTCAGGTCTGAGCTCCAGTGAGGCCGTGGGCGTGGAAGGAAAGAGCAGATGTGAGAGCTACCCAGAGACTGCAGCAGCTGACCCGCCTCTGTGGTTGAATTAGAGGAAGAAGTTATGACTCCCTTCTGGGAACATGCCCCCACCTTCCCCTTCCCCTCTTCTTCCTCCTTGCAAGCTACTCTTTCTTAAATACATTTTATTGATTTTTTACAGAGAGGGTGGGAGAGAGATAGAGAGTTAGAAACATCAATGAGAGAAACATTAACCAGCTGCCTCCTGCACACCCCTTACTGGGGATGTGCACGCAACCAAGGTACATTCCCTTGATCGAAATCAAACTTGGGACCTTTCAGTCCACAGACCGACGCTCTATCCACTGAGCCAAACCGGTTTTGGCTTTGCAAGCTACAATACTTTTACCCTTCCCTCTCCTAAGCTCCCGGGGCCCCTTCTTTTGCCTCTATCACATGTTTCCTGAGCCCATTTCTTCTCCCACTCACTTCTTCTATCTCTGTGACTTTTTAAACTACATTTGTTTGTTTTAAAAAATAAAAAGTAAGAGTTGGCCGTTGTGCAGAATTTCTGGGGAGCAGTTTGCGACACGTGTCCAAATATCAGATATGAATCACATTCAAGTTGACAAACCCATTTGGGGAACTTGACCGCAAAGGATGGTTGCACAAAGTGGAAGTCTCAGTTCAGTATTCTTTACTTTCTTTTCTTTTTTAGGACAGTATTCCTTAAATAGCCACATTCCTTAAATAGCCATATTCCTTAAAAAACACACATGCACACACACAAATAGTCACACACACCAAAAAAAAAAATTATATATATATAATGCCCTCCCTGCTGGCCTGTTCACCCCTAACTGCCCTCTCCTGCTTGCCTGGTCACCCCAACTGCCCTCCTCTGCTGGTCTGGTTGCCCCAACTGTTCTTTCCTGTAGGCCTGGTCACCTCTAACTGTCCTCTTCTGCAGGCCTGATTGCCCCCAACTGCCCTCCCCTGCTGGTCTGATCACCCACAACTCCCCTCCCTTGTTGGCCATCTTGTGTTCACATGGGGGCGGCCATATTTGACCACATGAGGCAGCCATCTTGTATGTTGGAGTGATGGTCAATTTGCATATTACCTCTTTATTATATAGGATAATGGCCCTGGCTGGTGTGTTCAGTGGTTAGAGTATCAACCCATGCACTGAAGGGTCATGGGTTCCATTCCCAGTCAAGGGCAGGTACCTGGGTTGCACATTTGGTCTCCAGCCCCAGGCAGGGCCAGAGCAGGAGGCAAGTGATCCAAGTGTCTCTCTCACCTCTCTCTCTCTCTCTCTCTCTCTCTCTCTCTCTCTCTCTCTCTCTCTCTCTTTCTCTCTCTCTCTCTCTCTCTCTCTCTTTCCCTCCCTTTCACCCTCTCTAAAAATCAATGGGAAAATATCCTCAAATGAGGATTTTAAAAAATGAAATACAAACTTTGAACACTGGACATGCCATCTCAATTTCCCTGTAAAACATGCTATGGTAAGGAATATTTTTATTCTCGAGAGCAAATATTCTCACCTATGAGCCATGCAACGATTTCTTTTAACAGAGAAGTGTTTTCCCAGACTCCTGGTATGGACCTATGTCGCTCTCCAGTCCTTGAGTGTAAGGTGGTCAACCAGGTGACCCTCATATATCTATTACACAGATGGCATGTATTCTAACCAGTGTGATGTGTCTCAGAAGTTGAAGATGCCTGCATTTCTGAAACACTGCTCTGAAAATGGAGCTGTTGACTATTTCACTTCAAATTCCGTTTTGGACCTGGAGAGTATTATGCTAAGTGAAATAAGCCAGTCAGAAGAAGACAAATACCATACAATCCCACTCATATGTGGAATTTCATAAACAAACAAACAACATAGAAATAGACTCATAGATACAGAGAACAGAAATGTGACTTATCTAAACCGATGTGTGCCAGTGTGGAGTATAGGCCAGATCTTGAAAGTTTTATGACAAAAAGTTTAATGTAAAATAAATGTACTTTCAAAAATAAAATATATATATTGGCCCTGGACAGGTAGCTCAGTTGGTTAAAGAGCATCCTCCCCACACATTAAGGTTGCAGGTTCAATCCCTAACATACAAGAATCAACCAATGAATGTAGCATAAGTGGGATAATAAATCACCTCTCTCTCTCTCTCTCCCTCTCTCCTAATCTCTCTCTCTCTCTCTCTCTCTCTCTCTCTCTCTCTCTCTCTCTCTCTCTCTCTCTCTCTCTCTCTCTCTCTCTCTTCAATTTTTAAAAATATCTGTAAGACAACAGGAAGCAGCTAAATCACAGCTGAAGGTCCCAAGCCCTGGTTCTCAAGCTTGGCCCCAATTGCCATCGCCTGGGACTCTTTAAGAAGCCCCTACATCCGGGCAGCCCCCACCGACCTACACGGCAGACTCTCTGGGCCTCGGTACTTGAAAGCGATGCTCGAGGCAGGTGAGTTTAACAAGGTGGAGAACCCGGTGGGGAATGGAAGCTCAAATTAGAGAATGGGTCTCCACCCATCAAGTAATCACGCTGGAGGCGGGAAGTTCTCGGCAGCGGGCCAATCACAGAGCTTGGGTGGAAAGAAACCCTTCTTATAGGCGGGTTTCCAAACCTCAGGTGTCTTTGGTCAGAGCATGGGTCCGGGCGCTGGCGAGGGCGCAGGCGAGGTGAGTAGCATCCTGGCTTCTTTACTCCATGAGTCTCTGTCTTCATTCAGCTGTTAATTCTACAATAAAAATGCCTCCCCTCCTTTCTTTTTAATGTTAAACCTTTGAAATTTCAAGTCGTATTTCCCTCTGACCATGACTCCTATAACTGAATAGTGGGTTTTTGGGTTTTTTTCCCCTCTCTTGCTGAAGCTCAGTTTCCTAAGATCACTGGATACAAATGTAAGTTGGATTAACGTTGGCCAAATGAGAACATCTTAAAACTAACCTGTTTTGTGTGCAAAGCGTGCTGTTTGCAATGAACGTTTTAAGGGTAAAAGACACACCCCGTGGTCAACGTTGAGGCTAATGTGTGGCCATGGGAAGCCAGGTCCAAACTCCCATTTTCCCTGAAGCCGGTATCGAATCTCTGATTTCACTCTTCTTAGCCAAGTTCCTAGAAATAAAAGTATAACTTTGGTTCATAGGCTGATGCTTAACCGCTGAGGCACACCAGCTGGGCACATACAGATATTTTTAAAAATTGACTTGAGAGGCGGGGGGTGGGGAGAAGAGGCGGGGGGAGGGGTGGAGAGAGAGAGAGAGAGAGAGAGAGAGAGAGAGAGAGAGAGGTGGATTTGTCCTTCCATTTTATTTTAAGCCCATACCTCCATGCCAAGACACCTCATGCATGTTTCTG